CACAGTCCTTCATATTCCCAAAATGACCCCCGTCCAGGAGGCATCCGAGTCCCTCCCCCCAGTACAAGAACAGCATCAGCCCTTCTTTTTTGCAATTCAAACGGCAAGGCTGACGGGGGGGGGGCGAGCCGGGAAGCGCCAGGGCCCGACCACGTCCCGCGCAGGAAAGTTTCGCCCCCACAAGACGCCCCTTTGTGCCGCCCCGCGGCTTTGTCGCCGCTCACCCGGAATCGCTTCGGCAGGAGAAACACCCCGCAGCGGCCCTGCGTTCCCCTTTGTTGCGGGCCCGCGGCCTGCCCGTCCCTGCACTGGCCCCGCTGCCCCGCCTGCCTCTGCGCCGCGACAGGAGGCGGCCGCAACCCGCGCTCCCCCACGAGGACAGGGCGGCCCCGCTCTTCTTCCCCAGGGCACGGCGGTACGGGCAGCCGCAGCCCGCTCACCCCACTCTCGGCCCGGCCCTCACCTCATTCGGTCTCTCCAGTGGTGCTAACCGCCGCATGCAGGGAAATCAACGGGCACAGCGCCCTTCCCAGGGCCGCACCGCGGCCGGGCCCTCCGCGCAGAGGAGGGGTCACACCCGCCTCACGGGCAGCCCGGCTTCGCTGCGGCCCTTCGCCATTTTTGTTTCCCGCGGAGGAGAGGATGGTGCATTGTGGGAAGTACAAAGAGCCCCGACCCCATCCCCGCCCCGGCGGGGCTCCGCCTGCGCCGACTGGCCGCTCCCGGCCGGGGGGAGGGGTCGGGCGGCGGCGGAAGCACACCGTCCTCCGTGCCTCTGCCGTCGCGCGTGAACAAAGAGGAACTATTTCGTCCGTAGTGGCAGAGCGCGCGAATCCTTCCCCCCGCGCCCGGGACTACTTGTGGTGGTACATAGCGCCTGGGGCTGCCCCGGCCCGGTCCGGCCACTCATTCCCGGTCCTGTAGCACCTGCCGTGAGCTGCTTTTCTTCTCCCTCGCCGGCTAGCAGCGCGGAGCCCACCCGAGTGCCGGTCTGCACAGCGCCTCCAGTAGCAGGGCTGGTTTCAGCGGCTGCTGAGGTGGCACATGCGACCTATCTCCCCTCCCCTCGGCCGGGGAGCCTTCAGGGCTCGGCCGGCCCAGGCCCTGAAGCGGCTCCACTTTTCCTCCTCCCGCAGGAGCTCGGCCTCAGGGCGGCAGGTCCCGTGGTCACTGGAGGGCCCCTTTCTGCACGACGGGCTCTGCACTTGACTGCGAAAGTATCCAAACCCCTTGACAGGATGTTACAGGCCACAGAAAAAGGAGAAAAAAAGCACTCCCGGACTCATTCGGAAATTGTTAGAAAAAGAAAAATTATATTTTTCCACAAGGTTTCTGGCTTTTGTCAGAAGGCAGTTGTGCTTTGGCAGCAAGATTAAACATTTGGATTCCCCCCTTGGCATTGGCAATGCATAGCGGGGACATGTGCCCCCCCCGGCTGGCCACTGCTAGTGCTGCTGCCCACATCTGCAGTCACCACTTGTCACCCCCCCCCTTGCTGCCCACGCTGTCACAGCCACCTGTAGGCAGTCCCCACTCACCACTGCCACACCCCCAACACTGCTGCAGCCACCTGAGGGGACCCCCAGCCCTGGGAGACACAAGTCATCTGTGCCTCTTGGTAGAAACAAGCTGCACCACAGGAGTTTTCCAGTTCTCTAGACTCCCTAGTCCTCAAATAGCACTTCCCTGGTACAGTCTTACTCCTTCATGAGCAGGGTATCTCCACCACCTCCATGAGATTTAGCGCTTCATCAGATCTCTTGGACCCATGAGTTCACCAACTGCTCAATCAAAGAGGAAGGAATGGAGGCTTCTTTCCACTGCAGCTGGAAGTTTTAGCACCTAAACAGATTAGGAGCCACCATGAGACCCATCCCCTCCCAGCATACATACCATGGCTGCCTTGCCACAGGCATTTCCTTTTCCTTACTTGACCCCTCTTCCCCTTCACCCCACATTCCTGTTGCTTTTTTGGAGGGGTTTTTTTTGTTTTGTTTTGGGGGGGGGGGGGTTGCAGGCTCTAGTGGCTGCCTCTCCAGTCATACACAGGATCTGTTTTCTCCTTGTGTTTCACAGGCTGCATTAAAAAAAAAAAAAAAATCTCAAATCATCCTTTTTTATGTCATCAATCCCTCTGGACAAGTTCCTGTAAGCTGTTGACAGCATCAGAGCTGGGTTGTGCCTGGACTATATCACCTTTAGAGAGTCAGTGCATACCTTGTACTTTTGCCACTGCTTGTGACAGCTTCCAGGCCTTTCATAAAGTATTTGAAAGTTTCCTTCTTTTTTCTCCTAATCAGTTCCTATATCTGGTATTATCCACACATTACAGCAGTCTCAGATCATGGAGAGGCAACATTTTTCCCTCCCCACTCAAAAGTCACCATTAAAGGGAGGGAACAATGAAGGAAGAAAAAGAGAACTTTAGCCAAGATTACAACATATTTTGAAAAATTCAGGAGGACATCTGTTTGGCCCTGTTCACTTCACACTTAGAAGGTAGGCAATATCAAAATTTCTGTCAGCCATAGCTGACATCACTTATGCTGTTTGCATAATGAGAATGTTAGAGAATATAGGTATCTATCTTGATTTGCCCCTAGTGCTAACAACAGTAGAAGCACTAGCATTAATCAACTAACAGTTTCTCCCCTTATGTCATCCTAACCCTGCTCAGAACAGATCTGCACAACATAGGAGTTCAAAGGCCAATCTACACAAAGTTCTCTTAACTTTTGCTTGCAACAAGCCAGTTTCATCAGTTTGCTTCCCTCAAACCAGATCTAACAAAGTCAGCGTAGCTAAAGCCTTCATCAATACAAAGCATAACTAAATCCTGAAAGAATACAGCCCTAAGATATACCAGTTTACTGGTTTTTGTTTAATTGCAAACTATATTAGTCACAATAATGCAAGCACTAACAATTAACTAAAGATTAAGAAAGTAGAGTGAGTTCTTAATTTGTATCAGAATCAGCTTGGCCAAATCAATACCAGTAGCCCACAATAGCTACTTTTTAAAGTTCCTTATATATAACTGCTACTATAGTATCTTTGGTAAATCAGCATCTCTGAGAAGTAAAGAGCAGAGTTCTCTAGCAGAGCATGAACAACATAGCTTTAAGCTACCTTCGTATCCTCTCACTCAAGTCCTAAAGCAGCTTGGAGCATAAGTTTTGTAGTTCTGGAAAAACAAACTGTGGCAGTGTCCTTTAAGTATTTAACAGCTCACTGTAGTTGCAAAGCCACCAAGACCATTCCATGATGTGACCTGTACACTCAGTAAGTTTATCACAACATTTCTACAAGTTGTAAGGGATGGTGGCTTTGTATCCTGTAGGAGACAGGGACATCTGAAGCAGCCTTATTAACATTCCTTTAGTTGGTTACAGAACATGTGGCACCCTATAGAGCTTACCTTTTCAAAGACAGTTTCTGTCTATTCACAGGGAAATAGGACACTATAATACCAATGCTTTGGACCTACTCTCCTTTTTTGGGACTGGTTTATTTCTGTAAAAATTGTTAAGCAGAAGCTACAATTTCCCACCCTTATTCTATTGTTTGTCATACTCTTGATCTCTGAATTGCTGCTTAATCATTTTAATTCAAAACCACATTAGTGTCCTTTGTCTCCCTCTTATAGGAAGCCTGCTGTTGTGATTCAGTGGCAGAATCCGCATCTGCCACCCCAAACACACATATAACTACAGCCATTGAGGCACTGAGTGTCTGGACTCAGTCTGATCTTTGGATACTGTCTCAATAGCTAAAGTAGGGAATGGACGGTCTGGGCAGCCTCCACTCCTCCATGCTCTTGCCTAGACATATATATCAAAGATCCAGGTATATGTGAAAGGTCACTAGGATCCAGACAGATCAAGGATTGTATACTATAGGAAGCTTCATCTCAGGACTCTTATCATCTGATGCCTACTTAATTCCTTGACCCAGCCACTAGTCCAATCCCAGATTTATCACCTGCAAAGTGGATAACTAGACACAGATGACTTGAGGAGGTAATGATAAGGAAAAGTTTTCAACTAGTAATAATCACGCCTCGGATTAACCTCTAATAATACCAAAACTATTTCAAAACCTTGCAATTGGAATGATAAGCATTGGTGAGGCTGAGCTGAACTCCCTCTAAAAGACCAACCCATATTGTAAACAGGTTCCTTCAAACCACTTTAGCCCTTTTCTCTAGTAAGAATGAACAATTGATACCATTACTAATTACATTACATTGTAGTCACGACAGCTTTAAAATTTGTCAGTTCATATCACTGAAACAAATATCATATGCATGGATTTGTGGCTGCAAATGGAAAGAGGATTCCCATCACTAGCAGCAGCTGTAGAGCCAAGAATTCACTAGAGTAACTTGATCTATCCTGGATACTCTTTATGTCATTGTGATTGTTGTAATGTGAGAGGTATAACTAATCTGGTTCTGAGTGAACTGAAGCTTTTCACCTGTTTTCTGACCAGCCATAATAATCAACTAGACCCACCTTGAGTATACTCAAGCCTCAAGGTTTAGATTAACATAGGTAAAAACTGTGTACTTCTCATGTTAACATCTCAGCCTTATTTTCTCTTGACATGTGATAGTATTTACAAAAATATTTGAAGGTTTTATTTAAGAGGCTTGTGTTTTCACTTTCAGACGTATTAAGTATATACATACACTAGCTAATGACAGCTGAAGCATTTTTTGCTGAAGCCTCAGTTTTGCCTTTTCTTGTGAAAACGTTTGGAAGAAAGTATATTTGGATTATCTGTCATGTAAAAATCCAGGCTCTGCTTAATATAGTATATATGTTCAACTTTCCCCTGTCTAGTTTAGGAAACTGGTTCAGCAATCACTTCAGCTAAAGTAGAGCTGACTGTATCTCAGCTACATGTGCTACATATCACTTGTTTCCTTTCATTGATTATATTATATGTTATCTGTATATTAAACATTTCTGAACTAATATTTATATTCTCCATACAAACTGGTTTGAGGTACAAAGTCTTTGTTTTGGTTTCTTTATTGTTCCTAAGAGCAGCAAAGGAAAACTAGACCCTATCTTCAAAATGAAATGTATTTTGCATATAGGAAAGGATTAAGAAATGACTGCATAATTTGCTGCTGTGTTTAGTATTGCTTGGAATTGGGGCAGAGATCTTCATAAAGGGATGATCTATTCTTAAATGGGTGTGGAAAGCATTTTGGCAATGTTTTGCCTCCCCAGTACTAGCAGAACAGTCCACAAATGGAATTAAAATAAAAAACAAACAAAAACCTGTTTAACCAGACAGGCTACATAGATGAAAGTTCAGGGCCCAACTGTTGTGGAGTACTAATTTCTTTTACCTTATTGTGTTGCCAGACATGGTGTCAGAATGATACTCTTGAATAAGACTATAAGGTAAAGTTTATACATGTACAGATGGTCACTATAACCACAATTCAACAAGGAGGAAAACTTAGACCCTAGACCACTTTCTCTGTATTGTTTAAGCTTGGGAACAGTCAGGAGGCCTACTTGGGATATTCTTATCAAGAAGTTCAATATGACACATCTCTTTATGGATTAACATAATAATCAAAGGGAAAATGTACTCCTGGTGCTTTTGCTAATGGAGGTTCAGAAAATAATCCT